ACGTCACCACCAGGCTAACTACACTAATTACACTGTAACTAGCTACGTAACCACCAGGCTAACTACACTAATTACACCGTAACTAGCTACGTAACCACCAGGCTAACTACACTAATTACACCGTAACTAGCTACGTGACCACCAGGCTAACTACACTAATTACACCGTAACTAGCTACGTGACCACCAGGCTAACTACACTAATTACACCGTAACTACACTGGGAGTAGCTACAACGGACAGGACCCCAGCTTGGGTCCAAGTCCACGTGTTGGTGACTCTTCACGGACGTCGAATGTAGATCTTCAGGATGACAACAGCAACTCTGGGGACCCAGCTTATATCCTCCGTGGTCGTGGCTGGCCCCACCCTTGGCCACGACCACCTTCTAGAATCCTCGAGCAGGATCTCGCCCCGACACGTGACCACCCCTAGCCCCCCACTTGGGGACCCTGTGTAGACTTTACCAGTCACGTGTTCTCCGGGGTCAACCAGAGTGCCATGGCCTATAGTAACCCGATTCCATGGCTGACACTCTCACACCCCATCCTGTAGGAGTCGGCAATGCACACCTGAGCGTGGTGTCACTCAGCGCTATGACTCAGCGCTCACAGAGCCCCTCTAGGGCCAGCACGACACCCGCATACAAGTGGTGTCCGCGATGTGAGCACATCGCACTCCGTGCCTCTCTAGGGCCGGCATTACACAGTGACATCCACGATGTCACTATATACGTGGTGTCCACGATGTGAGTACATCGCACACCGTGCCCCTCTAGCGCCGGCATTACACAGCGACGTCTGCGACGTCAGTACATCTGCATTCCTCTTTCCATCCCAGAGTAACTCTCAGCATGCACCGCTCCACGCTTTTTTCCTAAATACTTTTCAGCTTTTGTTCCATGTTCTTGTTTGATAATTCTTATTTATCACCGGTGCTATGGTATAAGCCATGGTCCTTGTGTATTCTGTGCAACGGCATGGACCATAAATAGCTCGGCACACACCCGGCTTGTTGATGTCCAATTGAACGATGCAATGCGGTGGCACTGGAACCTTAAAGCAGGATCCAAAATCCTGGCTTCTCGAGTTGCCACGCATCACTTCCCCATCCATTTGCCTCAATACTGCAACTGTCCGGGAAGCACAGCAAATCGTGGAAAAACGAACGTCTCCCCATCCATTCGGATCTCAATACAGTCCCTCGCCAGCACTCGAGTCGCGCAAGCCTTTTTGGACCCACGCGCTTAACCTTCAACAATGTAACTTCAAACGTGATATTCTTGGGTCTTTCGGTAAAGTCACGTAGATAGGTTCAAAGAAAATAATAAAAATAACAAAAAAACTGCAACGTTTCTATCACAACACAAGCAATCGTCATCAGGAGAGCAATCTTATTATCTCTGAGATCAGGGCTAGGCCAGCCCTGAACAAGATCCGTCGACTCGATCAAGTCACTCACATTTCTGAAGAGATGCCGCGACACTAAGGTAATACCGATCGCCTTCACACTGACATCTGCTGTTGTCACTTCTCCCAATGGTAAACGGATCTTGTTCAGGGCTGGCCTAGCCCTGATCTCAGGGATAATAAGATTGCTCTCCTGATGACGATTGCTTGTGCTGTGATCGAAACGTCGTAGTTTTTTTGTTATTTTCTTTGAACCTATCTACGTGACTTTACCGAAAGACCCAAGAATGTGAATTCCTGCAGTCACGAAAGCTTTAAGTCAACATTCAAGCGTGATTCTTGGAAATCCGAATGAAGTCCACAAGACACAAACACCTCATGAAATACCTGATGTAAAAGGTACCTGGCTTCGATCTTCCGTAAAGCTTACGGGCTACCCTAAACAACATCCGGTCGATGCACAAAAATGGAAAACAGAAAAAAACTCTCCAGTGTGCGACTGGGCTCACCCAGAACCATGGAACATATAACAATTCAATGCCCGATTCACAAACATAATGGAGGCATTACAGTGATACAATCTGCTACAGCTGACGCAGTCATCCGGCTCTACCATCTCAAAGAAACATTATTGTAGTTGCTACACGTCTGCACATACGAATAAGAGGTTTGTGAAACTTGAATCGATGTGGTCATGCTATATAAAGCTGCTGCACTGGCTGAAATTGTCAGTTTGTAATTATGCATATTGTTGTTGCAACGCGTTTTCTCAGTGGTCCGTGAACAGTACACGTCGTGTTGAGTGACCAGAACGGCACGTACTGCCCCTTCGAGCTTAGTTGTTCCCCTAACTGATAAATGGAGGCTAATGAAAACACTGTTCGTACAGACGTGTCTAATGCCAGACAAGACATTGATGTATGGCACCAATTACCGCAAATGCGAGCTGTTACCTGAGCAAAATGTAACCAAGCAAAAAGTACATTTAAAATGAATAAATCCAACACTCAGTTCAGCAGAAAATACTGAACGTATGATCACCAAAAATAGAATGCGACTTCTAGATTTGAAGCTTTCGTGACTGCAAGGATGAAATTGTCAGTTTGTATTTATGCATGTTGTTGTTGCGTTGCAACAACAACATGCATAGTGGTATTCCAAACTCCCAGGGTGGTGTATTATCATCTTGTGCTACTTCCAAGCTTTGTCAGTGGTGCGTTTCATGCTAATTTCCTTTGTCAGAGCGTTTGCTGTTTGCCCCCTCACAGCTTAAAGGGAGGCGACCAGCGCTTGGCTTTCTTCACTCCAACGCTGCCCGCTGGACAGGTTGGTCCCTTCACCTGATGAAGGCCGCTTGTGTTGTGGCCGAAACTTCGTTATTTTTGTTTATTTAATGTTATTACCTACGTGACTTTACCGAATAGAACCAAAGAGTAAGAATGCCACTTATAATTATACACATTAAACAGGATGTAATTGAATGGAGTGATGGCACTAGGAAACTGACGAAACAACCAGTTCAATTCCCAGCCACAGTTAACATCAGTGGGTGAAGAATGACCGACATGGTGTGGTGAGGCCTTCGTTTAAGCAGTGGGTTGACAAAACGCTGTAAATGATGAACAGTGAACACATTACAATTCTCCAGTGAACTGTTTATCAACACATGGTAAACATGCCTATAAAAGTGGCAGGGCTCCAAAATACAACTTGTTAAAATGTTGTTGTTGGGTGTCAATTGAAATTTGACATATCCACATATCTGTAACATTCCCAGAGTAAAGAACATGACAACTTAAACTGGACATATTTTCAGGTACATTCATGTTTATTCAACTTTTAAATACACTGCAAAATAGATTCAAAGCTTTCGTGACTGCAGGAATGACTCTTTGGTTCTTTCGGGTAAAGTGTAGTGATTTCTTTCGACGAGACTTTACCGAAAAAAGTGTAACACTGCAAAATGTCATGAATGAAAATATTAACATCAAAAACAATTTTAATGAAAAAAATGTGGAATAAGTGGTGCAGAGCTAAAAGCAGCTTTTTTTTCTTACATCCAAATACTGATTTCTAGAAGAGATCAGATAACGGTAATATATTTACCATATGAAAAGGGTTTATATTGCCATTTATAATGCAAATAAATTTAGAAAACACGTAATATACAAGAATGGTTCATTTTGCAATTCCAATCATCTGCTGACAATTCATTGTAAAAGGGCCTTACAAAACATTTATATTACATCCAAAACAGTATTATCTGTAATGGAAAAAAAGGTCAAACATTGGGGCACTATACCGCATTACTAGCTTCAAGTTTATATTTTGTATTACAATTGTAGCAAAATTTTTAAACTAAACCAATTAACATATTTTCATCTCTGAATATGCAAAAAAACTCGTGGGAAGAACCCAAAACTGTCTTGCATGCAATCACACTTTTTCAAAACACACTTTTTACAAAGACCATATTATTATTTCTGCAATTATATATATTTTTGGCAGTTACAGTATGTCCATTTCCAATAAACATTTACATTTGGCGCAAAGTATTTTTAATTTCGGAAGTCATACAAGGCAACAATTTGAAGAGTACATTATCGGTAACTGCCTGATACATTTCAGGGTTCAATTAGTCCACCGCACCTCCAACATTCTCGTCGTTTGCATTTGTTCATATCCCAACACATTGCATTAGATTGTAATATTCTTAAAATCGACTCAAATCCATGACACTGCTCATTTGTTGTACTTTCATATTATATCCTGCAGCTTTGAATATTATTTAAATGGTGCTTCCAAATCTATGTGTGTAATCCTTCAAAGCTTATGCAATTTTATGTACAATTTAATTTTAAATGGGAGGTTACGTAAAACAGCGCTGATGCAAAAATTACGGTCCTTCCAATCACGTAAAACTCTGGGTTGACATGATGCTACGAGTTGGTAATAGATGAAATTCATAATAAAAACAAATCATTACAATATAATACGAAACAAAACTTAGAAAACAGCACATCTTGTTTCCGTGAATACAAACTACTAAATTGATGGAAATAAGATTTACTTTTGTTGTAAGTCAAAAATCTTTGGGTCATACATGAAAGCCCATACAAGCAAAAAAGTGAAATGTTATCAACTGCTTAACATAGCCAAATTGATGCTGTGCCTTGCCTTTTCTTACACCGAGCACTCCATCCATGCTTCGTTATACGCAGGATACACGACTGCAATATTATCTTTGTCAGTCTTCAAACTCGGCAATCATAGTACTCCTGTTCTAGTCAATGCATAAGCTGTCTGTGCAATGAAAAATCAATCTGAAAAGTTTACCTCTTGAATTAAGGCCTTATATGGCTTGGCACATTCTTATCTTTCACAACTGGTTCCCTATACCACTATCTGTAACCTTGAGTACACAGACACTGGACGAATACTCATCCTTCACGTTAAGGTAGACATTGCAGGGTTTTAGACCATTCTGTTTTTACTTAACTAAACAGTTGAACCAAATTGTCCTGCCAACTAGGGACAATCACATCGAACATTTTATTTTACACTCTCTCAATTGGGATATGTCGTGGTGTTTATTAGGTTGTAGTTTTCCATTTTTTCTACATATGTACTTGTTTATAGAGTTGTAGATGTATAGATGTAGCACTATATTACATGGTAAAGTTAATTTGGCCACCTTTTTGTGAAAGTAAACATATTTGCTTAAATTAACATTATTTTCAAAGCAGAGGAAAGTTGGTAGTCTGATGCAAAGTCTTCACGGTTGTTTGCATGGAGGCCACAGGTAAATAACCGCACCGTGCAGCCCAAGTTTTCCTGGTCATAGATGTTCTTTGCCTGCCACCGTTAAGTCTGTTTGAGACGCTTGCATGGAGGTCCCAGCTGTGGAGACTGGGCCGTGGCCAAGGCACGGAAAGCATCCGCAACCAGGTGAGGGCGAGACAGAACCATGGACTTCCAGCCCGCCGTCTCCATTACGTCCATCGCATGACTGCAAGTACAAGTCAGGGTTAAGCGAGCTCCTAATAAGCAGTGTCTATAAGGATTGGGGCAAACGGTTAGTCTCCATTAAAAGGGACTGTAATGCAAATTGCCATGTAAGCATCATCAATCTTACGCAGCTCAGTGACAGTCACACTCTCACTAGACTTGCCTGTTTATTATGAAGTCAATGGCCCGGGCCTTCAACTGCTCTGCACTGTGCAAATCGGCCAAGATCAAAGTCTCTGCAACATTTTCCACCGACAAGTTTGTGCATAGTGCCTCCTCGCACATCACCTTCAACCTCTCTAATGCATACTTGAGAAAAGTAAAAACAAAGTGCAATTTCAGTATTAAGAACACTATTTTCTCTACCTATTTCGCTTGTATAACATTCCCTCACCCCATGAACTACTTTATAAACGCAGTATACAGCAGTCAAATGTTTGAGAATTTTCTTAAAACATGGCATCAACCTTTCAGCATATTTATGTTTTAAGTCATGTATTTATTGATCTCTACTATAATTAGGGGTCCTTGTCCTAAACTTTATTATATTGGTTACAAAGTCATGCAAATTACAAAGGAGGTGAGATGTTGTTTTCCAAGAGCTTCAAGAGTTTGGTTGTTAAGCTGATAAACAATGCAACTGCAAGCCACCGTATTTCAACTCTAGCAGAATATTAAACTTTAATGAACAAAGCTTGAACATGCGACTTTATACGATTTGTATTCTTATTTCATTACAATCGCTTTAGGAACTATTGAATATGATGTTCCAGAAGGGAGAGTAATGACTCTTAACTGATTATCTGGCAGATCTTCAGGAACAGCAGGATATCCGTTTCCTTAATAAAAGTATATTTGTTCCAATTTATTTCTATACAGCCATGCCACATCAAACAATCTTTTAAAACACTTCCCTTTATTTTATTACTAATTATATCAATTGTTAATGTGATTAACAAAAAACCCTCAATACAAGAACACACAGCCAAATGGTTGCACTTAGGATAAAAATGCTGCATGTGAATGCACTTCAATGCACACGTACTAGCCTCTAGCATGGACTAATACCAGTTTGACATTCAATTCAATTGTGAAATTGCATGACAATTTATATTTTTTGTTGAAAATTCAATCATCTCCCAGGACATCAATTCCAAAACCTGAAAGCACTAATGTGAACGTCTACATCATATACATTTGCTATTCATATTATTTGTGACACGGGCTTTAGAAAAGACCTAAATGCTGTTTTAATTTCACTTGCGACCTGCAACTGCATACCGATACATCACAAGGTGGTGCGATCTCATGTTAATATTTTAAGCGTGTAACCTTGTCAGCAGCGGCCAGCAGCTCATCAGCCATCTTCTCCAGGTTTGGAGCCCTTCCCGTATAGACAAAACTCATCATTTCCTTGAACACGTCAGGGTCCACATCATTAATCTCCACTCGATTCTGCAAGGTAGCAAGACAATATATTCAAATTAACTTCGGCATATATTGGGAGACGAAAATATAGCATTAAATTAAATAAAAATCCTTTATATCTACACAACACATGTAAAGTGGCTCCATTCAAGTTGTATTCAACTTGCCGATGACTATTTATTGCGCGTAATAAATCCATTCTTGACACACATGCAATGGCCTTCTGTGAAATGTTGAATAAAAAATAGCTATAAAATACAATCTAACATTCCCTCGGAATGAATACTTTTTGATAATAAATGTGCAATGCGCCAAAAGAGTTACTAGGGTAATAGTTCAACATTTGACAGCACTCTCAAGAGATACTTATCAACCGATCCATTGTGATAAATGCACCTTGGAAATGTATGATCACAGTATTAATGTGCTGTATTAAGATTGCATTTAAAGATACCTTTTTCCTCTCTTCCATTTCATGTTCAAACATAGCATTAAAAACAAGTGACCGACCTGAAAAAGGTAAAGCAACTGTTAACAAATACAGTAAAACCTTGGATTGCGAGAATAATTTGTTCCGGAAACGTGTTTGTAATCCAAAGCACTCGTATATCAAAGCACTCGTATATCAGTTGTGATCACGTGACGCTCGGCAGACAAAGCGTATACGTACTACTCGTATTGCAAAACCTCACTCGTTTATCAAATTAATATTTATTAAAAAATTTTGCTCGTCTTGCAAAACACTTGCAGACCAAGTTACTCGCAATTCAAGGTTTTACTGTACAGTGAATTGGAAAAACACCGGAATGTGGTACAGACACATTTAGATGTTATATCTAGAGATCAAATGAGGTAAAATCCAGATCCATATTTTATTTCATATGGCATATCCATTACAGATTTGTCAAACATGGACGCAAATAAATGTCCAAATTAGAGGCTCAAAACCTACACCATAACTGCATTGTGAAAAATGAATTCCTGCACAACAACGATATAGTGAAGTAAATAAAAACGGAATACAAACTTTAGCAACAGGCTAATTAAATATGTGTATCTCTCACACAATACAATATTACATTTATATATGTAGTGACATCGCGAATGTCACTGTGTAATGCCGGCTATAGAGAGGCACAGCATGCGATGTATTAACATCGCGGGCACCACGTGGATGTGGGTGCAGTACCGGCCCGAGAGGGGCATGGTGAGCGCTGTCTGACAGTGCTGAGTGGCACCACGCTCTGCGTGGGGTGCCGACCCCTACAGGATAGGGTGTGAGAGTGCTGGCCATGGGAATGGGGTTACCAAGGGCCATGGCACTTGACCACGAAGGACACGTGATCGGTAAAGTGTACACAGGGCCCCCAGGTGGGGGCTAGGGGTGGTCACGTGTCAGGGCCCGGAACCCGCTAGAGGATTCCAGAAGGTGGTCGTGGCCAAGGGCGGAGCCACCCCCGCCACAGAGGATAAAAGCCGGGTCCCTGAGAGGGACCGGCTGCTGTTGTTCATCCTGAAGAATCTACGTCCTACAAGAGTCACCAACACGTGGACCCGGACCCCGGCCAGGGTCCGGTCCGTCGTAGCTAATTCCCGTGTAATTAGTGTAGATAGCCTGGTGGTCCACCACCATAGGTTGTTCATGTGTTAAGGGGTAGTACCCCGTGTGTCGGTTGAAGAAGTGCGTCTGTGACTCAGTTGAATTCATTACACATATTTACTGATGTATCCTATAACAAAAAGCATTACAAATTGACGTAATCATTTGCCAGTGTTAGTTAATAAAATTCAGTGTAAAACAGGAAATGGCTGTAGTTGATTACCCCAAACTAATTACAGTATCATTAATTATATGGTTCTATTGTACACTAAACGACACATGTGTTGCTTGTTGTGGCACAGACCTGCCAATACGGCCTTGTGTGCTTTAAACTCCTGGCCACCAACACGAAGCAGGCAGTCAGTGAAGCGGGAATTGTCCCAGATCTCCCCGAAGTCAACTGCCAGCCGGCAATCTGGCACTTTCAATGTACTCATGCTGGATTGACCAGAAATGTTCACGGAATCCTGCACCACACTAACCTGCATAGACATCAACCAGCTTTGAGAAGGCATTTGATGATTTTTTTTTACAAATCCTCACTTAACTACACATTTTGCATGAAGATGTAGGCTTTGGTTCAATCAAGCAAGCAAATCTGCACAGACATCCTATATCAGAACAAGTGTTGTGAATAATGCCAAAATAGAGGTCCGTGAAATGTTTTTCATATTAATCAATTTTCATTCTATATTTTTGTCAAGTTATTTTACACTGTATAAACAGTTTAAACAGGTAGTGAGGCCCCTAATTATGGGTTCTGCACAACAACAGAGGAAGTGAACAGCCCTTCTTGATGTGCTTCCTTTCATTATCAAAATGCTTGTATTTTGTAAAGTATTTTAAAGATAAAAAATATAAATCTGGCTGATTAAAAGGACCCCCCTAAGGACAAGAAACATTTACATCAAACTGGCTGATGTCCGAGAATAGGAAAAGGAATTCATGTGGCGACATTTAAACAAAACACTTTATGTAATACCTGACATTCTAGTTTATAAAAATGTCAAGGTTTAAATATAAACACTATCCAGAGGGAGAAAATCTAAAAAAAATTACGCTTGATTATTTAATTGTTGTGCTATGTTAACTCTAGCACCAGTGGAGGAAAAACGTGCTTGTAAAACTCATGTTAACAATTTCCTTGTATGGAACAGGGAAAGTAATTATTACAATCTTCAATTAAGTAGAATATTGACTCCAACTGTGCAATTGTAATGACTAAAATAGAAAATTACACATTAGCTGCAGCATGTCATACTTACTTCACCAAAGAGTGTCAGTTTGTTATCTGGAAGCAAGCTATTAGATTCATCAAGCAAAAAATTTCTTCGAATGAATTTTTTAAATCCCCAGTCTTTTCCTTGGAAAAAGCGGTATGCTCGCGGGCTCTCTGTAAAAAAATAGATTTCAAACAATACTCACCAGTTCTTACAATAAACGGTGGTAATTTCATGTAATGGGAAAAAAAAACCTTAATTCTATTTTCAAAGTGTAAAGACAGCAATGTATTCTAAAGCCCTGCGCCACGGTGGCAGTCAACTACCTCGCCTGGTATATAGGTCATGGGTTCGATCTCAACCCTGATGCCTGTATATTTGGAATCAGCATGTTCTCCTTGTGGTTGCATGTATTTTTATCCAGGTCTTCCGGTTTTTCCCTCCATATTTATAAAAATCCAGAGTATTTGGCTGCTATACATTTCCACACAATAAGCCATCTCGTTAAGCTATCGTTTGTGGCCGGGGCACTTCTGAAAAAGAGCTATGTACAGTGAGGGAAAAAAGTATTTGATTCCCTGCTGATTTTGTACGTTTGCCCACTGACAAAGAAATGATCAGTCTATCATTTTAATGGTAGGTTTATTTGAACAGTGAGAGACAGAAAAACAACAAAATTCAGAAAAACGCATGTCAAAAATGTTATAAATTGATTTGCATTTTAATGAGGGAAATAAGTATTTGACCCCTCTGCAAAACATGACCTAGTACTTGGTGGCAAAACCCTTGTTGGCAATCACAGAGGTCAGACGTTTCTTGTAGTTGGCCACCTGGTTTGCACACATCTCAGGAGGGATTTTGTCCCACTCCTCTTTGCAGATCTTCTCCAAGTCATTAAGATTTCGAGGCTGACGTTTGGCAACTCGAACCTTTCAGCTCCCTCCACATATTTCCTATGGGATTAAGGTCTGGAGACTGGCTAGGCCACCCCAGGACCTTAATGTGCTTCTTCTTGAGCCACTCCTTTGTTGCCTTGGCCATGTGTTTTGGGTTATTGTCATGCTGGAATACCCATACAGGACCCATTTTCAATGCCCTGGCTGAGGGAAGGAGGTTCTCACCCAAGATTTGACGGTACATGGCCCCGTCCATTTTCCCTTTGATGCGGTGAAGTTGTCCCGTCCCCTTAGCAGAAAAACACCCCCAAAGCATAATGTTTACACCTCCATGTTTGACAGTGGGGATGGTGTTCTTGGGGTCATAGGCAGCATTCCTCCTCCTCCTCCAAACACGGCGAGTTGAGTTGATGCCAAAGAGGTCCATTTTGGTCTCATCTGACCACAACACTTTCACCCAGTTGTCCTCTGAATCACTCAGATGTTCATTGGCAAGCTTCAGACAGGCATGTATATGTACTTTGTTTTGCAGGGGGACCTTGCGGGCGCTGCAGGATTTCAGTCCTTCACGGCGTAGTGTGTTACCAATTGTTTTCTTGGTGACTATGGTCCCAGCTGCCTTGAGATCATTGACAAGATCCTCCCGTGTAGTTCTGTGCTGATTCCTCACCGTTCTCATGATCATTGCAACCCCACGAGGTGAGATCTTGCATGGGGCCCCAGACCGAGGGAGATTGACAGTTCTTTTGTGTTTCTTCCATTTGCGAATAATCGCACCAACTGTTGTCACCTTCTCACCAAGCTGCTTGGCAATGGTCTTGTAGCCCATTCCAGCCTTGTGTAGGTCTACAATCTTGTCCCTGACATCCTTGGAGAGCTCTTTGGTCTTGGCCATGGTGGAGAGTTTGGAATCTGATTGATTGCTTCTGTGGAAAGGTGTCTGTTATACAGGTAAGCTGAGATTAGGAGCACTCCCTTTAAGAGTGTGCTCCTAATCTCAGCTCGTTACCTGTATAAACGATACCTGGGAGCCAGAAATCTTTCTGATTGAGAGGGAGTCAAATACTTATTTCCCTCATTAAAATGCCAATCAATTTATACAATTTTTGACATGCGTTTTTCTGGATTTTGTTGTTGTTATTCTGTCTCTCACTGTTGAAATAAACCTACCATTAAAATTATAGACTGATCATTTCTTTGTTAGTGGGCAAACGTACAAAATCAGCAGAGCATCAAATACTTTTTTCCCACACTGTAGCTCAGTGGGCCTTGCCTGGTAAAATAAAAATAGTTCAGTTTAGCTTTTAACTTCAAGGTAGATGAAAATCAGACCTGGATTTAAGTGTATGAAGATATAGTTCATATGGATTAGTTGAATGTGTTTGTGTATTAATAATGCTTGTCTTTGTAAACATGGTTGTGTGACGTGAGTTACATGTTAACATTACCAAAGACAACACCAAAGCAAATAATAAGAAAAAAACATGAAAGTTTAAAACAAAAAGATAGATTTAGACTCTCAGAAACATGTTAATAGCCTTAGCAAAGCACAGTAAATGTATGTATGTCATCACTTAAAATAGTTATCGCGCATTGAAAGAGTATCCTGAAAGTAATAAGGCAATTATAAAACAAACAATATGAACCACTAAAGCAAGGTAAAAGAGAAGTGTGAAATGGGATGAAAATGCCAACCTTTGTAAAACCACCAGAAATGAATACAAAAATGGATGAGAATACAAACAAAAATAATGAAGTTGTAATAAACAGTGAGTGCAAGCAGAAAAAATAAAGCCGTCACTTGATAAATTACAATGGAATAACACATGGTGAAGATTGTAAAACTAGGAAAAGAAATGTCCGTGAATGACAATGTCCAGGTACACTAAGCAAAATAAAATAATTATTGGAGGGTCAATATCATGGAAAACACTAAAAATATGCATAATGGCAACTTCTGAAGGTGGAACAGGATCAAGAGCACTTTTGGAATATGAATTTGATAATGAAAAGTTGCAATGTGCTACAGGATGAAAGATTCCAATCTAGTGCATATTACCTACTATGAAACACTGATTACAAATAGAAACACTGACAAATGGAACAAAACTAAAAAGTACACAAAGCGTGGAGAGAAGTATGTTGAGAATTACAGTGAGAAACTGAAAGAGGAACACGTTGGTCAAATCAAAACGGCAAATTAGAGACATCATATTCACTGTTGTAAATATAGATTGGGCTTGGACAGGACACATCGCTAAATGGGATGGTTGATGGATGAGACTAGTGGTCGAATAGGAAGAAAAGTAGAGTACATGCCCAAGACGATGTCAAACGTAGACAAGGAGATATTAGATCAGCTCATGTGAAGGATGAGGGATGGTGTTCGGAAGGTTTATACAATGTTTCAAGCAGTCGATAAATAATGGCTGATTATGATATAATCCTGTTACCAAATACACATATGACGTGAATTGATACTTAAATACAAGTAGTTTCACCCATAGCCTTGGTTTCCTCTCCCTTGGCATTAAGAATAGAAACCTTGAACTTGGCGTAGACTTCATTCTTGGGACAGCTGACCAATAACAAGTACAACGATAGGTAATCTTTACTCTCTTCATCAAGACCCTTGGGGTGTATGCGTAGGCACCTGATTGAACATATAAACAAGACATATTAGGTGTGTATGTACGCGCAGACTACATTACTAAAACAATATAGTATGAACTAAAACATGCACTATGCAAAATTGTTCTAGTAAAGCACCTCCGTGAGCATTGTGATTTTTTAATGTCATAAAATAGCCAGAATTTACTGTACCATTTCAATGTATCATTGGTGCCTGCTGAAAATGTAGAACTCTTGAGAACTTCGCCCATTTCTTTACGACAGAAGCTGAAATTGTTGATGGTCCACATATAAGAGAACTTTACCACCTTAACCTGAAATACACGAGCACATAACAGCTATAAAGCTCATTCATTACCATAAATACATGACCATTGACAAACCCTCAAGTATTTCACCCACACATCTGAATATTGTGCTCAAAAAACATAAACTGTCTATAAGGAAAGAAACATTACTGTAAATGAAAGGGTCTTATTAGTGTTCTGCGATTACCTTGCATGTGCATTACTGCACAGCGTTAACACAAGTCTCAACATGTCATAGATTAGAGTGTGCAATAAAAGGCCTTTTTATTTTTTTTATTTGATAAAAACTGCTGCCCCTTTTGTATAAATACACTACCAGTCAAAATCAGAGACAATTATCTAGTATAATGTTGTTAGTGCAATTCTATGAACTTTGCAATCTGATGTACAAAAATAGCCTGTACAATGATAATCCATAATTGCACTTACACATAATTATGAAACCATTTTGGATGGCTTTGCGATGAACAAAAAACGTGTAAAAGTTAAATGCATTAGCCATGCGCATACTTTGACCGGCACAAGATGGAGACCCGTTGAATGTGATTGGCCACAGGGGAACAAGTTACCTGTGTGTAGCACCAGCTTTCTGCGATGGGCGCATTGGACATTTCAGACGGAGGTGGGGGGCTCGGGGCCCTGGACATGTTTGCATTGCATGCGAGGGAAGTGACATCATCAGGTGACATTAAGAGGGAAGTGACATCATGAGGTGACATTAAGCAGGAAGTGACATCATCAGGCGACATTAAGAGGGAAGTGACATCGTCAGGCGATATTAACATGTAAGTGACTACGAGATTACGAGTTAAATGTTCTTGCTGTGGTTTTCACACCTGACGATGATTGCTTGTGTTGCGGTCGAAACGTCGTAAGAATTTTATTGCTTTATATTTTTTATTATTTTATTGTTTCCCTTCTACGTGGTGACTTTACCGAAAGAACAAAGAATATGAATCGCTGCAGTCACGGAAGATTTAAATAATTAAATAAAATTGCAAGAGATTGATTATTCGTGCAAAAGAGCGTCGCGTAACCGATCACTCAGGAGTGGGACCTGCGCCTTTAGTGGCACCCCGACGTGAAACGAGCACACGGCACCAACTGTCCCCACTTCCTGAAACGGAACGGGGTTTTACAATCGATGCACGTGCAACTAGTCTCAATGATTGTTGCGCACAGGAGTGCTTCAGGAGAGCATCAGCGAGGTTTTACTGTTCCTCCTCCACTGGAGGGGCGCAGGCTACAGCACAGCGGTTTACCACCAGGCACTCCGTAGTTTGGGTTGTGTGGACACAACATCGCAGGGCTGTGAGACTTCTTGAAGGAGGAGATGTGGCACATCAGCCTGTTAATGTTTTGATTTAAAGCTTTCGTCACTGCAGTAATTCATATTCTTAGCTCTTTCGGTAAAGTCACGTTGAAGGGAAACAATAAAATAATAAAATATATATTGTGTTTTATATATATTTTATTGTTTTATTGTTTCCCTTCAACGTGACTTTACCGAAAGAGCTAAGAATATGAATTACTGCAGTCACGAAAGCTTTAAATCAAGAGTCCATCTATGTTCTGAAAAGAGGAGGGGGGAGACGAAAAATTAATTTATGCTGTCTGAAAGCCACCGTAAGCGTGAACAATCAATTAAGACCTGAAATGGTTTATCAAATCCTTCCAATGATTGCTAAGCCAGAGTCCATCTTCTCGGTTGAAATTGTCTCTGTGTTTGTATATGTGGATAGCCTCATGAACAAATCTCTCATGGTAGCCAGATGGATTGCAAAGAACCTCTGTCTTGGAGAAGTCAATGTCATGTGAGCCTACTGAATTATAACAGTGATCTGCCATGGCCGAGGTGTTGGTCCTACCGTGTTTAAGGTGTGCTTTGTGTTCACGAATGCGGTCCGAGACATGGCGTTTGGTTTCACCAATGTAACTACAATGTAACTACTACCACAGAGGCAACTTAGTTTGTAGACACCAGGGTACTGTATGTCGTGATAGCGAACTAATGCGTATAATGCTCCCACATTTATAATGAACTTAGGTGGGTGACCACTATTGATTCCCATGTCACAGGGCTATACCTAATACATGAAAACTTGAAATGAAACTTGAAATAACAGACTGTTGAGGCAATTGCTGTTGGCGAGTAACAGCGTCTATGAAGGCTGGCACAGCACACGAGCAGTGGGTGGCCAAGAGCAGGCCCGGCCACCAGAGACCCACAGAGACCCACAGGGACACATAGAGACTGACAGAGACACACAGAGACCCACAGAGACTCAGAGAGACCGACAGAGACACACAGAGACCCAGAGACACCCACAGAGACACACTGAGATACACAGAGACCAACAGACACAGAGACTCATAGAGACCCACAGGGACACACAGAGACCCGTACAGACCCGTAGAGACTCATAGAGACCCATATAGACCCAGAGTGACTGAGACTCGTAGACACCCATAGAGGCTCAGGGACTCACAGAGACCCATAGAGACACCATCACCACCACCATCACAACCATGATCATCACCACCATCACAACCACCACCACGATCACACTGCACCAGGTACTCATTTAAAGCCATGCCGACCCATGGAAAGCGGTTTAAATATTCGGCACCATTATTGGTCGTGAGTGGGGAGGAATTGAACTCTGTTCACTGGGTTCGCAACACAGCGTTGCAAGCCACCACACTGCCGCTCCCCATTAGGACGACGCACACGGCATTGACAACCTTGATGCTTCCGGTTGCTTGCGATGAAGTGACCGGTTGGCTCAGCCTGTCAAGAGCACCGAGCTGTACCGCTGAGACCATGAGTTTGAAATTCAGGCAACTTGCTTGTGATTTTAAACCAGGTTTCTCAAGCGTATTGCATTTGGCTAAATTCCAGCTGAGAATGAAAATATCAGTTTCACTCTCGTACGTGAAACATTTTTCTCCGTGGCAGGGCGTGTGGGGAGGTGCTGCTCATGACTGTTTGGGGGGGGGGTGGTGGTGACACGTGGCCCCCCAATGATCCGATCAAAATCCCTCATTTCGATCGGATCATTGGGGTTTACAGTGAGGGAAAAAAAGTATTTGATCCCCTGCTGATTTTGTACGTTTGCCCACTGACAAAGAAATATAATTTTAAGAAATATAATTTTAATGGTAGGTTTATTTGAACAGTGAGAGATAGAATAACAACAACAAAATCCAGAAAAATGCATGTCAAAAATGCTATAAATTGATTTGCATTTTAATGAGGGAAATAAGTATTTGACCCCCTCTCAATCAGAAAGATTTCTGGCTCCCAGGTGTCTTTTATACAGGTAACGAGCTGAGATTAGGAGCACTCCCTCTAAGAGTGTGCTCCTAATCTCAGCTCGTTACCTGTATAAAAGACACCTGTCCACAGAAGCAATCAATCAATCAGATCCCAAACTCTCCACCAGTCAACGCCCTACCTGGTTGATTGACGTTGAGAGACCACGCCCACACACGTGATCGTCTAACGTGGTCGATTCCCACGTCTACACAGTAGGAATCGATTAATGAAGGTTCATTTTAGACCACTGTTGATTCCCATGTTATCCCAATGCAAATCGATTTTATTAGCCTAAGCCACAAATAAATCGATTCCTATGTTATCCCAATGGAAATCGACTCATACATTCGTAACTCTACTATAATCGATTCCTAATGTTATCCCATTAGGAATCGGCGCGAGTATAGTTAATCGAAATTTAAATCGATTTTCTCTGCAGGTGACTTGGCGCAGCAACCACGGTGAGCCGAGCCGATCGATACATCATCGGGTGCCAGGTTGTGGTGGACGTGGGGAGCGGTGGTGCAGTGGTTAGCGCACTGTGTGTGTGTGGGGAGCGGTGGTGCAGTGGTTAGCGCACTGTGTGTGTGTGGGGAGCGGTGGTGCAGTGGTTAGCGCACTGTGTGTGTGTGGGGAGCGGTGGTGCAGTGGTTAGCACACTGTGTGTAGTGGGGAGCGGTGGTGCAGTGGTTAGCGCACTGTGTGAGTGTGTGTGCGTTGGGGTGGTAGCTGTGAACACAGTGGGTACTGTGGTTAGTAGTGACAAGTACATTATTATACAGCAGTGCCTTAAACTTGTTATTAGATTCAAGTATAACGTTGCAATGACTATTGTTTGCTAAACATAACTTAACATTTTTAATGACTGAGTTGAGTTTATGCTTGCGTTGGGGTGGTAGCTGTGAACACAGTGGGGACTGTCTGTGTACTCAGTAGTGAGTAGTACATTATTATACAGCAGTGCATCTCATGCACACACACTGGTTCAGATCATTGTCGCTGGTGTTGGCCGTGAGTGGGAATCACTCAGGTCGCCAGGTTCGTAGTGCAGCACGCTCACCGCTGCACTACCGCTTCCCATATACACACACACGCATCTCATACACACAACAAAGACAAATATCTCCCGTATAGCCTTAACAGACTGTTGGGGCAAGTCCTGTTAGCGAGCACCTATGAAGGCCAGCACAGCACACGAGGGGGTGGGTGGCCAGCACCACGCCCGACCGCCTTTGTCTCCCGAGTGGTGATGTTTTACACACCGCACCAAGTAATTATTTTGAGGCTGAGTCGACTTAGGGGAAGCCCATGACCGGTCCAGATTATCGTCGCTGGTGTTGGCCGTGAGCGGGAATCGAACTCGGGTCGCCAGGTTTGTAGCGCAGCGTGGCGCTAACCGCTGCACTAACACTACCCTTATACACACATGCATCTCACACACACACACATGCATCTCACACAGACACGCGCACACACACATGCATCTCACACACACAGACACGCGCACACACACACATGCATCTCACACACACACACAGACACGCGCACACACACATGCATCTCACACACACAGACGCGCACACACACACACACATGCATCTCACACACACAGACACGCACACACACACACGCATCTCATACACACACACGCATCTCATACACACACACGCATCTCATACACACACACACGCATCTCATACACACACACACGCACGCATCTCATACACACACACACGCATCTCATACACACAAAGACAAAGACCCCCGTATAGCCTTAACAGACTCGGGGCAATCGCTGGGAGCCAACACCTATGAAGGCCGGCCCAGCACACGATGGGGTGGGTGGCCAAACACCACGCCCGGCCGCATTTGTCTCCCAAGTGGCGATGTTCACACCCTGCACCAAGTACTCATTTAAGGCTGAGTTGACTTCAAAGACGGAAACAGGAATACTTCTTCACAGTTATGGCAAATCGCCTGATGAAGCTGGTTGTAATAATCAGTGAAACGTCATACTCTAATGGTAAATGTTCTGGGTTTACTATCCAATACACCAGTGTGCTGAAGCAGTAACTAATTGGCACGTTTTGTTTACGTGAAATATGCTCTGACTTTAACATAGCTATTTCTGTGACCAGTTACAAGCTAATCACTCAGCTATTTCAATGCTAAATTCTATGCTAATTCCTTTGTCAAGGGGTACCTCTGCGGATGTGTATACTTTAACTTAGCTATTTCAATGAGCCATTTCAATGCTAAATTATATGCTAATTCCTTTGTCAAGGCGCTTTGTTTTTTTCTTCTCACACAGCTTAAAGGTCGTGATCTAAGCGTGG